CACACACCCACCCTTATGTCCATCATCTACACAAGTCCACCTACACAAAGCTAATTACCTCCTTTGTNGAAACATATGGTGTTTGTGCAGTGATTTCTTAAGAGCCCTATGTGTATGTGTGTGTGTGTGTGTGTGTGTGTTTTCCCTTTTGTGCAAGGCAGTAAGTGAGGATGGAAAAGTAAAGGAGAGATAGGCAGGTGGAAAGACGTATGGAGAGGTGAATAGGTAGAGTCAACTGAGGACACGCAAACACACACACAGCCCAGACGTCTGCATCAGTCTCATGGTGACGGCATGAGGAGGAAAAGAATAAATCTTTTTTGATGGAGGGGAGACGCAGAAAGAGGAGGGGCTTATATTGAGAAGAGAGGAGAGCAGGACACAGAGGGACAGGAAGGAGTTACACTGTTGTGGACAAAGTGAGGATACTCTTGACGCTGTCTGTGTTGATGTTCTGTCTGTGTGTAACTATGTGGAATCTATGTTAAGTTTTTCTATTTTAAATGTTTTAAAATGAGACATTGCATCTATAAAGAAGTAACCTACTTCTAAAGGGCTCTCTATTATTCTAAAAATAGTTTTTAGTACAACACTGCCCTTTTGTGCTCGTGGCCTGCACTGTAAAAAATGATAAAATTAGCAAAGTAGACGTCACTGTTGCTAAGAGCTTATTGCTGTGCCGTTTCTGCACTTCAGGTTTTCAAGTTGTGGTTTGAGTTTATGCAGGTGGCGCTCGTTTTTGTTATTACTGCTCATGCTAAGAATGCTATCATCTCTCTGTTTATTGCAAACAAGCATCTGCTGTTGTAGTGTATAATAACTGGGAAAGAGCAAAACTACACTGAGTTACACCACGTAAGATAGAGCAATGAAATGAATGTTTATATTCATGAATCCATATAGTATTTGTTCATAAGACTTGATCACAAGAAACTTCCTGTTTTGACAACCCATTGTAAACCTTAAAGAGAGGCTACGACATTGCTAAAATGCAACTGAGACAGTGAAACTAAAGGGTAAAGATTGATAAATTAGAAAATGCAAATGACAATAGCACACGAAACAGTGGAAAATGACTGAGGACAAGCAGTAACTGCAATGGGAAAAGCAAGAAAAAAACAAACAAAAGAGCTGAAGTAGCATTAATGCAGGTGACTTTTCTTGAAGGCAGCAAATGTTTCCGTCAGCACTTCTCACTTCAAACATGTCAAAGTACACCACGAGTTTGTGTGTGTGATGAAAGATAAACGGTTACATGAGCTTGTGATTTATCACAAGATAAAAAATAAATAAGAAAATAAATTTCCAAGCAGAGATGAGGAACAGAGGAGCCAATAAGGAGGAGGACGAAGGGAGAGAATGAGAGGAAGGAGACAAGGAATAAAAGAGGGAGGGAGGGAGGGAGGGAGGGCGTCCCTGTAGGCCTCTTTGTTGGGCAGCGATTTAGAGATTTACAGGCTCTTGTCCTTCTGCGTGTGTGTGTGTGTGTGTGTGTGTGTGTGTGTGTGTGTGTGTGTGTGTGTGTGTGTGTGTGTGTGTGTGTGTGTGTGAAGAGAGAGTAATTGAGCCTCCCTTCATCCAATATTTACCCACCAAACCAGAGCAATCATGCGAATTATGTTTACTGGGAACGAAGTGTCTTTCTTCCTCTTTATCTTTTTTTCTCTTTCCTACTTTCCTCATTCCTCGCTCGCTCTCTCTCTCCTGGCAACTAGACATCATATCGAGATCCGAGCCAGGGCTAAATCACACACACACACACACACGCACGCGCACGCACACGCACACACACAGGGGAAACAGGCCCATCTGTATTGATGATGGCCTAATTTAGATCTCTTTATTGGACTGATTTACGATGGCCAGACAAATCTGGGCATCTGGACCCAAGCGTGTGTCTGTGTGTGTGTGTGTGTTTGTGTGTTGTCCAGTTGAGCTGATACCCAAACCGGACACTCAATATCCTCCCTGGTTCATTTCATTCTTTCTGCTTGTGTTTCCGTACCTCTCTGTGAATCAGCGGTGTCCTTTTCTCTCCACGTCGTAGTCTTGTTTCAGCACTCTGACTCCTCTCCCTGCTGCAAGGATGACACACTCCATCCTGAAACATTTTAAAAACACACCAATCATCATACTGAACATGGTAGAACTAGTGTTGCAACAAAAAGACAAGGCCTGGACCTTTCTAGGTCAAGGCCACTCAATCTCTTATTGTCCCACTGTGCATGTTGGTTTTTGACTTGGAGTTGAGGTGTTTGATTAAGGGTAATATTCATTCACAACAGCCAGATTTCATAGCTACACCTTTGCATCTGGGTGTTTCGTTGATGCACCTCATCAGAATGAATGTCTAAACAGAAGCTCACATGTGAACATCACCCTAAGTAAAGAGGTCAGAGATCTTGAGGGGGGGAAAAAAATTAAGTAAAATTGTCCAGGGGAGACATTAAAAAGAGAAGTTTTGTCTTTTTTTTAAGATAAGAGTAAATTTGAACAACTAAGGGATGAAGGGATGTAATCCAAGAGGGAGACGTCGCCTCAAAGGCACATTCATCTTCAAGATCAAGCTCAGGTTTCAACTTTTATTTGTCCCAGTGGGCAGTTTCACAGCAGCTATTAAAAACAGCAGCTTGACTTTGGGGCTTCTTAAATTTTTTTTCAGAGATAAAACAGTGAGTTTTAGCCTTTTAAAATTGCATAAATGTTTTGGCACCTGCTGAGATTTAGTGATTAAGCCTCATTTCAATTTTTCTTTTTAGTAAAAAGGGAAAATTCCATTCATTACAACCATGTCTTATTTTTGTAGTTCTGATTGTGTTCACCATGTTGATTGTTGCATCAGTGAGAAGGCAGACCAGACAAGAAACACAACTAGCTAGTCAAAATGCTGTTCATTATAAATATCCATCACTATTTTTTGGTGAGTTCCTGGTTCAACCTTGATCTACCAATCTTACTGTAGTTGTGCAGACACAAATGTCCTGTGCAATGAGGGATAATCACGAACATTTTGAAAGTACCTACTTTTGGTTTCACCAGTAAATAAAGCAGTTAGTTGGTCTGGCAAAACTATTGGCGTCTGATTGTCTGACTGTTGGTTTCTTGCCCTGTTGGACTTCAATGAAGAGCAGTTACCACGTTCCTAGATCTCCGTCGAGAGTACGACATTATCAAAACTGAGATGATGGCCAAAGAAAATACAAAATACAAAATCAAGACCAAAGTTGCAATTAAGTAAAGAGTATGTGTGTGTATGTGTGTGTGTGTGTGTGTGTGTGTGTGTGTGTGTGTGTGTGTACAGTAGTGTCTAGACCAAGACAGTGACAGAGGGCTTCATTGAAATAACTGTGGTCTCAAGGGGCCAGCTAAAAAGAGCGAGAGGGTAGGTGAGGGTAGACAGAGTATACGAGAGTCCAGGGAATCATTTAGGGTGTGTGTGTGTGTGTGTGTTTGAGTGTGAGTGTGAGTGTGTGTGGAGGGTGATTCATCCGTTCTGGTGGCGTCTAACCTTGGCATGTCCTGCCACGCGTGACGGGGTTACACCCAGATGGCACTCTGCTGTCCTCTACACGTGTGTGAGTTTGTTGGTGTGTAAAGGAGCATGTACTCATCTGGAAGAGTCAGCCTTGTGTGTGTGTGTATGTTTATGTTTGCATCTGCATGCAGAAAAAGAGACAAAGAAGAAGAATAAAGGGGGTTGGGGGGGTGGGAGGGGGGGCCCTCATCAGGTTGTTTAGTGTCTTTGTATGATCTTGCCCCCGGGAGAAAGGGTAGAAAAAAGACTGAAAAGTGTGTGTGTGTGTGTGTATGTGTGTGCACCATTGTTTTGCTGTCAAACACTGCTATGAGCACATACGCAGCATTAAACCCCTCCCAACACACACACACACACACACACACACACACACACACACACACACACACACACACACACACAAAGCCTTGTGATGACAGTATATTTATGCCTACTTGTGGAAAGGACAATTGGACCCCTGCAATCCCTTCGTTCTTGTTTACACTCTGCCACACACCCACCCACACACACACCCCCCCACACACACACACACACACGCACACACACACACACAAACAGTGACAGATCACAGACAACTGTCCACCTGCCATTGTCAAGGACTGAGTGTGTCATCTGTCATTATGTGTGAGTGTGTGTGTTCACACACACAGCTGGGGGCTGTTAAGAAAGGGGAAGTACATTTAGGGGAAGTTCACCGCTGAACAAGAACTTGTTACAGAAATAGAAATATATGGACACCTGAAACACACGCACACTTACCCTGATTCAGATCCAGTTCAGTCACACAATCACTTTTCTAAAAGCAAACCCTCTGTATCTGAGCACTTGTTCTTCAACATCTTTTATTCTTCAAGATTATTTTTGCTTTGTAATGATGATTTTGGACAGTTGGATGTCTCTAAGTGACTTTTGATGGCCGTGGCTGCTCACTGAAAAACTGTGTTTACCTTTGTTGTAGAGCTTTATGGTTTGGGTCATTTCCAGTTAAGCTGTAAATCTTAATGATATTTCCAACTTTGTAGCAACAGGTTGGGGGAGTTCCTTTTTCAGTACAACAGTGCCACTTCACACAAATTACACGGGGTAAAAGAAAAATGGTTTTCCCTGTTTGGTGTGGAAGAACTTGACTGGCCTGCACAGAGCCCTGACATGATCCGACACCTTTGAGATGAACCGGAACACCAACTGCGAGCCAGGTCTCCACACCAAACGTGTGTTGGACCTGACAGTGCTCATGACAGTTTATGTAATGTACTCCATTTTGCTCAAACAGAAGTAAAACTGCTCTGTATATTGAGCTTTTTTATGGTGAAGAATACTGTGTTGTAAATTTAAATTTAGGGCAAGAAAGAAGAAGGCGAGTGAGGAGAGGTTCCTCTTCAGTTCAACCAATCAAACAGACACATGATGACTCATGATTTCCTTTTTCTTTCTCCCTCTTTCTCTCCCGCCTTATCCACTTCAGGTTCCAGATCGATTTCTGGAGGTGGCCCAGGTGACTCTTCGTGAGTTCTTCAATGCCATCGTGGCTGGCAAAGACGCAGACCCGTCCTGGAAGAAGGCCATCTACAAGGTGATCTGCAAACTTGACAGCGAGGTTCCTGAGGTCTTCAAATCCCCCAACTGTCTACAAGAACTCCTCCACGACTGACTAGGGCGAGGGAGGAAACACGGCAAGCAAGACAAACCTCAGAGAACTGTGAGAAGACTTTAAGAAAAGGCCTCTGAAGGCGCACAGTTAGACTAGGTTAAGGTCTTCAGTGAAATACATTTGAAGGAGTTTGACTTTCATAACACGATGCAGAGACTTGAAGTTATTCTACTTGGAGGCTTCTGGAGAGGTTTGTTGGTGGTTGTTTTTGGTCAGCCCATCTTTTAAAGACAAACGTGCCCTCAAGATGTTTTATAAAGAAAAAATATTCCTCTTCACTGAGGTAGAGGGCTGAAACTCGTGAGTCATACGATACTCAAATTAACAAAGTGTGTTGAGACTTTTATAAATTAAAAGCAAAACAGTGAAAATTGAACCTCCTTGCACTTACAGAAAAGCTCCTCCTTGCCAAAAACCCGATCTCCTCTTTCTCCTCCATCTCGTCCAAGCTCGCTCTTCATCCTCCTTCAGGGATGAGGAGGATTATGGATCAATCTTCAGCCCAAGATTTGGGATCAGGAGCGAACTAAAAAGAAAGATGATAATATATAGAAATCTTTTTATTGTGGATGTTTTTAAGTTACATGGACATTTTGGAAAAAAAAGTGATGTTTCTGTAATTTTTCTCCTTTGTATGAGCTTACAGCTTCTCAGTCACTTACACAGGCACACACAACCACACACACACACACACACACACACACACACACACACACACACACACACACACACACACACACACACACACGCACACACACACACACACACACAACCACACACACACACACACACAACACACCCACACAACCCCACACACACACACACACACACACACACACACACACACACACACACACACACACCTCTTGAACAGAAAAGCACAGTAGCAATCCCAATCCCAGACAAACTGGGCAAAAAACAAACTTAGTTGTTGTTTATTTCCCTTCATTTCCCTCCTCTTTTTACTTCTTCCTCTTCTTACTGTACTGAGACTTACTGGTTGTTTGTCTTGACTGTGTGGCTCTCCCTGCCCCTCCCTCGCTGCCCCTTTTGGCTCATGTTGCATTCAGGCACCCAGAGCGTCGATGACAAAAATCTTACATTTCTCCTTTTTAAAAAATGAAATGACTGATACTATATCGGTCCCATTTTTACTGTTTAAGAAAAAAAAAAGGTTTATCCACATCTGAGACAAACTTGATGAAAACATTATTGTAAACTGTTAAAAACCAGATTATGGAGAGACCCATTGTCCTCATCCATATTTTCTCATTTACTGCACTGATTTTATTTAATTACAAGAGCCTGACCAACACTGGATTTTTGAGGCAGATGCTCTCACACACTCTCAGCACTTATGGGGAATTCAGTAGAAATGTTTAAGACCTTCTGAAGGTTGCTTGACTGAAAAGTATTTGACTTTTTTCTTTTGAACCACTGCTTGATCTCCTACACACCTGTCTGTTTACAGTACACTTTCTGCACAACAAGGAGCCCTTAAGTGTTGTTATTTGAGATTTATGACCAAAATATGTAGAGAGCAGGATGTTTTACAGGAAAAATACACATGTCAGTGCTCTCTGGTGGACAAACTATGTAATGGTGACTACATAACCAAAAACAAAGTGTCACTTATCAGCCAATATATACACCACTATAAAAATGCCAACGGCAGCCTCAACCACTACTGGTTTTTTAATTATAATATCTGGAAAATATAGCACTGATATAGGATAATGGATAAATGCTTAAGACATGACAGGTGCTGTACAAATTTTCATGTCATTGTGTGTGTTTTATTTTATTTCTGTTAGATGCTTCATTTGTACGTCATGTTTCACAGAATCTCAAAATCACATTTATGCCAGTTTTTCACTTTATTTTTTAAAGTAATGTGGATTTACACAGGGCAGTTTGGTAAAAGTGTTTGTTTAATTTCTCCATTCATTCCAGTTTCACCTGGTTCTTTGATCAGAAAGATCAAGTATCATTTAAGTATTTGTAATTAAGTATTGATCGGACTTTAAAAATAAACACTTGCACTGAGGATTGTAACACATTTAAAAACTCAGATGGCTGACTGTGGTACAATCAGATGTTCTTAAATTTAAGCTTGTATCTCATACATTCAGAAATGTTCAATTTTAACCCCTTTCATCATTGACACATTCGATTTCTTTAGATATTTCTCTCTGCTCTGGGCGGCCAAGAGGGGCAGCTACACCAGCCAGGTCATGTGTGAAGTGTTTAAGGTTTTAACAGCAGAAAAAAAATACATACAACAAAATGCTGATATTTGTAGCTTGTATAGATGTAATAATTACTCTGATCACTCTGATACTGTTATTTATAATTGAAATAATTATTCCTATTAATGTTATTCTGATGATGATGATTATTATTAATGCTTGCTACAGATTTGACCAGTGGTTTACTCATTGTTTATCCATCACACTGCAACATGAAATAAATTATTCTTTGAAAAAAAAAAGGAGGGGGAGGGGATGTTTGGTTTGTACGTGTGTGATTGTACTTTTCTCTGTTCTATTTGCGCCCAGCAGAGGTGCAGAGGGCGTTGACCGTTTGCATGTGCCTTCCCACACACACCAAATCACCATCAACCCAAGCAGTAACTAGGCAACATGATGGCCACTTTAACTCTGTCCATGCCCTCCCTCCCTCCCTCTCTCTGTCTCTCTCTCTCTCTCTCTCTGGATTCTGTATAGGGGACATGTGATCCCTTGTTGTTGTTGCTGATGAATTGAAAAGAGGAGCGCTGTGTGATTATTGTCAGCACAAAAGCCTCAAAAAGCTGCTGACGCCTAGATTAGCCAGTACAAAGACACAGGGACAGACACACACATACACACACACACACACACACACAAAAAGACATAGGTACAGACACACACAAAGGCACAGGGACGAGGCCCGTCTGCCCTCATTGCCCTACTATCCCTCTCACTCCTCCATCCCTTCTCTATTCATACTCTCTCAGCCCTCCATCACTGATATTACTCTCTCCTCTTCCCCATTTTTACCTCTCCAGTCTCTCCCCTCTTTGCTTCCATTCTCATAGCTCTCACTTCATCGACCCTCCTCTCACACCACTTACCTCCCTAACACACACAAACACACACCATGCCCTCTGTGTGTTGGCGCCAAACACTAACTGGCATCACACAATGCCAACCAGCATCACCAGCATGAGATAAAGTGCCAGCACTCAATGTGCCTCTCTTTTTTCTCCTCTGTCCTCACACTCTGTCTCTGCCCCTCTCTCTCGCTCTCTATCTCTCTCTCTCACACACACACACACACACACACCGAAAATATGAGGGGAAAATACAAGGTGTGTATAAAACATGGCTACAAGTTGTGCTGTGCTCATGTTTAAATAAAATTCCAACAATGATATGGCAGCATTTGCATGTAACAATGCAGCTACTGCCAGAAGTACGATGCTGATAATAACATAGTAAAGCAGTTTATAATCCCATAAAGTTATGCCTCCTGTAATAAACCAGCTTCTATGAAGATTGTTTTCTCTATGAAGAAGTCAAAGGGGAATAAAGCAAAAAAAAGGAAGTTACACCCCTTACTAAATAAAAGCATAGACTTCTACAAAAAGGCCTGTTTGAGACAGAGCTACTGTTACCTTTGATTTTTTTTAGCGTGCAGTGTTTGACAGGACGATGATTGCCTTAAAGGTATGGATAATAATCAAAATACTAGGGGCTAGTTTTTATTAGGTAAACTTATGTTGTTCATAACTGCAGTGAATTAATCAACTTGCAATTCATGTTAAGAAATTTAAGTCAACTTTAGAGACCAGACTTGGAATGAAGGATAATACAGAATAATCTAAATGTTTAGACTTCTGAATCCAGCCCATGTCTCCTTTTTTTCCCCAGTGATCCACATAGGTCTGGTGTTGGGCTCACTGCCAGCCGGAGAAACTATCAGCCCAACCGTAATCCCAACCCAGCGCTGCTTTCTAGGTGGGATTAAGAGAGGGACTGCACTTTTCTTGCACAAGAGCCAGGAAAACAACGACGTCACCAAGCATGGATGGGATTAATGCAGCTGTACAAGTTGTTGCAAGTTAACTTTACAAAACTACAAACTCTTACAACCACAACAGCTTTGTGATCAATGTGAAACACTGTTCCTTTCAACTGCTGCTGCATCCAGCTACATCAGCGGGATGGATGTGTCACTTTACTGATTGGTCAGGACAAAATAACCCCGCCTCCGCGCCCCCCAAAAGAAGAAAACAGCTAACATGAATGCACGGTCAGACTGAATAATGACGGAAAGTTAAATGGTAACTAAGTCTGATGAGTAGTTTAGATATTTAACACATTATATATGGAACTTTCAAACTACAGCAAGGATGATAAGTTAGTGTGGTCTTGGGAAGTTGCTTAATCTTGTTGTTACTGGGATGCAGCACACAACAGAACACAGATGGATGTAATAAAGACACATAAAAAAAAGAAAAACTGTAGCAGATTTCAGCTTTAAGAATGAAAAACACAGATATACAGACGGGGGGGTGGGGGGGGGGTGAGCAGTATCTTGTGCATTAGCTTACGCTGCCAAAGCTTTTCATTAGAACAGGAGGGCTGAACAGGAGGTGGGGTCACTCTTTGCTCTATATGATCACACACACACGCCGTCTGCCTGTGAAAGCACATCTGAGCAGCGCAACAATAAAACAGCTGTGTTTGTGTTGGCCTGCTGATTGTTTCATTCTCAATCACACAGTCATACGCACAAACGCACTAACAGAGACACAAGCTCGCTGACTGTCCGCAGAGATGGCATGACAGTGATACATCTTGGGTAATAGCCACTGTTATTATGGAGTAGGGAGAGAGTTTATTATGGAGAAAATCACTCCTCAACATTTTATTAGCTCTGACTCTCTTCTCTGTGTTAACTGCTGCTACAGTGAACTGTGGTGTGTGTATGTGTCTGAAAGAAAGAGGTTTTTTTTTTAATAAACAACGATTATGTTTTTAGGATAAAATTTAGTGGTCAGCTTGTTGGTTTGCATTCTTTACTCTGGGAAGAAAGAAATCATCAATGTCTTCTTTCTTGTGGTCTTTTTTTTCTGATTTTAGGATGCATTAGGAAATTGTAAGAAAGATGGGCTATAACTTTGCTTTATTTTTCCAAGTTCATCTCCAGTAACAGGAAATGTTAACTAAAGTGTGGCGTCTGTGAGTAC